CAAAGTCTAGAAATTTTATATCTGTATTTTCAAAGTCTAGAAATTTTATATTTGTATTTTCAAAGTCTAGAAATTTTATATTCGTATTTTCAAAGTCTAGAAATTTTTTATATTTGCATTTCCAAAGTCTAGAAATTTTATATTTGTATTTTCAAAGTCTAGAAATTTTATATTCGTATTTTCAAAGTCTAGAAATTTTTTATATTTGCATTTCCAAAGTCTAGAAATTTTATATTTGTATTTTCAAAGTCTAGAAATTTTATATTTGTATATTTTCAAAGTCTAGAAATTTTATATTTGTATTTCCAAAGTCTAGAAATTTTATATTTGTATTTTCAAAGTCTAGAAATTTTATATTCGTATTTTCAAAGTCTAGAAATTTTTTATATTTGCATTTCCAAAGTCTAGAAATTTTATATTTGTATTTTCAAAGTCTAGAAATTTTATATTTGTATTTTCAAAGTCTAGAAATTTTTTATATATGTATTTTCAAAGTCTAGAAATTTTATATTTGTATTTTTAATTTCATCTTAAAAATTTTATATTTGTAGACATATAGTTTATTTAGCGAACTACAAATGTTTGAGAATAGAAAGAAAATAAAAAAAGGATAGGGAGAATATTATAATTCTCCTTAATATTATAATATTGTAATATTAAACTTAATATTATAATATTATAATATTTAGCGAATATTATAATTTTCCTTCAAGAAAATAAAATGAAACAACAGCACCCCTAAAAATAGCATAATTTCACAAGTGGCGTAGCACCAGGAGAGACTAAAAAACAAACGAAATACGCATTTGAACCGCATGAAATAAAGGAACAAGTTAGGCGCAGATGATTTTGGGGGCATAAAATGTTTCTGACCGCGTTCGTCGCGCGCGTCTGGCCCACGGTGCGGCGGTCGCGCGAGCTCGCGCGCGCTCGTTCGGTGGTCCAATTAACGAGGGAAAGAAGGGATATTCGGCGTGCCTTCTTCTTTTTCGTGCCCCTCCCACGTTCGCGCTTCACCGGCTCTTTTTTTCCGGTCTCCATATTGCTCGGCCCCGCCGGCTCGCGCCATATGGAACAGCTTATTCCGCACGCGGAAAGAAAATATCGGGCTGCCAGCGAAAGTCGGGGCCGTCGAGAACCACCGGATAGACTTTGATCGTCTCCGGTGGCCATTTTTATAGAACACCGCCGCGCCCCGTCGCGAGTGAGATCTCGCGGCTGGCTCTCGAATCCGGAGCGAATTCTACGAAGAAGCGCTTCCTCGAAGCGGGGTGTAATAATGACAGAAATTTTCTTGTCTGACTTCGATCCGTCGACTTTGTCGCGACTTTGTTAACACTAGTGCCCTAAACGCGACTAATTTATATTGTTTTATAACAAGGACAAGATTGGATTTATTTGAACTTCCTACAATTTTTATTATAATGATATTTATTGTATTATATTATATTATAATATAAATAAATAGTATATAATATTATATAATAAATATTAATATATATATATATATATATATATATATATATATATATATATATATATATATATAT